AGACAGGAGAAGCTCCAGCGCAGCCTAGAAAATTTAGTGACTTGGCCCCTGTCCTAAAAAAATAAAAAGCACTGGGAATGTAGCTCAGTGCAAAGGCCCCGGATTTAACACTCAGCACTAGAAAAGAAGTTATGGATGGCATGGGGATTACATTTTAATCTTCTAAAGCTGCCATGTGTAGGTGGGGGTATGGCTCAGTGGTGAGCTCGTGCCGGAGTCCTTTGGCCCTATATCTAGTACAGCAAAAAACAAAAATGCCACGCCTCCCACTGTGCACCAGAGTCACTGTCTTGTAGCCCCTCAAAGCTCTAGTGAAAGTGGATCACCAGCTGTATTCACAGCTACTCTGGAGGCTGAGGTAGGAGGATGACAGACAATCTGAAGCCAGCCTAGGCCTCTTAGTGAGGCCCTGTCTCATAAAAAAGGTCCAGAAGCCAGGCGTGGTGACACAATGCCTGTAAGTCCAGACTTGGGAGGCTGAGCAAAGGAATTTCTGAGAGTTCAGGCCAGTGTAGGCTACAAAGTGAGCTCAAGGCCAGCCTGTGCTACATAGTAAGACCCTGCCTCAAAAAGACCAAAAACAAAAAAAAAAAAAAAAAGAAAGAAAGAAAGAAAGAAAGAAAAAGTGGCCCAGAATGCAGCTTAGTGTAGCGTGTGGGAGACCCTGGGTTCAACCCCCAGACTGGGGGCAGGAGCATTCCTGTGCCTGGATGAATGTGAGAGGATCTTCCTGCCTCTGCCTCGGAGAGCGGCTGCTGCTTCCTTCAGCCCCATCCTCCTTTTTTGAAACAGTCTCACTAAGGCTCCAGCTTGTCTTCCTCCTGCCTCCGCCTCCCAGAGTGCTGAGATCACAGGTGTGTGCCTCCCTGCCCAACTATTGCTCCTTGTTTTCTTTTTCCTTTTTTCTTTGTCTTTTTTTTTTTTTAAAGACAGGGTCTCATTATGTCCGTAGGCTGGCCTTGAACTTGCTTATGTAGACCGGGCTGGTCCTGAAACTCCGTGTTGGGATTACCGCGTGGGCCACCCCGGCCAGCACCTTCCTTTCTGCTCACTGTATTTGCTCTAAGTCGTTGCCAGTATGTCACCTTTCAGTTACTGTAATAAACACCTGAGGTCACTGACTTAGAGCAAAGACTACATACCTGGTAGGGGAGATACCATGATCGAAAAAGAGCAAAGAGTTCTTTTAGCTCGTAGTTTCAGAGATGCCAGCCCCATGCTGGTGCCCTGGGACCCGTGGCAGGGCAGCACCTCATAGTAAGTACACCGGGAAGCAAAGTGAGGAAGCGGAAGAGACCTGGGTCCCTCAAGCGCCTCGCATGCCACACCCCCTATGACCCAACCCGCCCACTAGGCCCCACCCCTTAAAGGTCCCACCACCTCCCAGGAGCAACATCTCCCAGGAGCACCACACCAGAAGGAAGCCTTGATGAACCCTCAAAATGAAAATACAGCAGTCTGATAAAAAAAAAATACCGCTGCCTCTCCTTCCCCTGGGCTGGTCTCTCAATTGCAGCCACCTCCCCAGGGACACTGGGGCGGAATCTTCCCCTGTGGGGCATCTTGGGCAGTGCAGGATGCTGAGCTGTGTCCCTGGCCGCTACCCATCTATGCTAGGCCAGGAGCTCCCCAGTTGCAACAGCTACAGATGTCCTCAGGGTCCTCTGGGGGCCACACCACCCCCCTTGAGAAGCACTGCTGCGGGCACCCTGCGCACGACACCACAGGATCATCTTGCCTAGAGCCTTTCCCATGAGATCTTTTTCTTACTGAGCCGAAATCACAGTGTGGGAGGTCCCCTGTCACAGGGTCCCTGCCCTTATTTCCTTCCCCATGCCCCTGCTGCTCTCTCAGTGTAGACAGTCTGTCTCTGGTGGCCCTTGCCCTGCTTGGGCTGGCTGACTGTGGCAAAGGGATGCCATCCCCACCCCGAGCCTGGGCCTCAACACACCTGGCTTATGTTCCCTCCCCAGGGGTCCCTGCCAGGCTGACCTGCAAGAGGAGGAAGCCACCACTCAGCTGCCTGTAGAGCCCCAGGTGAACTGTGTGGTTGTCACCTGACGGCAGGACATGTGGAGCGTGACCAAACCTGCCTGTACAGCCTTGCATACACCAAGGCAGTGACTGGGCCGCTGAGTGCCAATAAAACTTTATTTTGGACCTGCAATGTGAATTTCATGTCATTTTCATGCATTGTGAAATATTGCCCTTTGAACTCTTCCCAACCCTTTAAAAATGTAAAAACTAGCAGAGTATGGCGGCAAAACCTGTAGCCCCTACACTGGGGAGGCTGAAGCAGGAGGATCACTGTGAGTTCGGGGCCAGCCTGGCCTACACAGTCAATTCAAGGCCACTCTAGATCTTACCCTAGTGAGATCTGGTCTCCAGAAAAAAAAAAACTGAACCCTACAGATAAATAAAAATTATTGTTACCTATGGGATCCTCAAAAAAAACCAGACAGGGCTTTTATGAAAGTAGCACAGTCCAACCACAGGCCTGAGTCCAGTGGTGGCTGGGTGTGGCCGCTGCTGACAGTGTTAAAATGAATCCCTCTCCATCCCCCATCCACTGTGGGCCCCTGTGCCATGCTGTGGCTGAGAAAGGACAAGTACCCCATGGGGACCCGCAGTCCCCCAGCTGGAGACAGCCCTGCGGGCCTTCTCAGCACGGCTACTTCCACGCTCAGCCGCAGCCACCACTGTCCCGCCATTGCCCCACGGTCACTGGGCATGTGTGTGGCATTGGGAATCATACCAGGGGTACGCCACTATGGGGCCACATCGCAGTCTTTTTTTTTTTTTTTGGCTCCGAATGCCTTCAGGGCAGGTTTGGCTGGCTGGAGTTGTGGGGACTGAACCACAGCAACCTGAGGCTGACTGCTTTGTTGAAGCAGCCACTTCAAGAACTGAGCTAAGGGGCAGGCCCCTCAGTCCTTTTTTATTCACTTACTTATACATATTTGATGCTGGGGCTCCTTAAGTTGCCTCACTAGCCTTAAACTCATGGTGGTCCTCCTGCCTCCGCTTTCTGAGTGCCGGATGACAGGTGGGCACCACCATGCCCGGCCACAGTTTACTTTTGAGGGCTCCCCAGTCTGTTCCCCCGCAGCCAGCCTGGAGTGCACAGAGAGACCCTGTCTCAGAAAACAAAACCCCAAAGAGTGTTGGTGCCAGCGCCATTAACGTTCCATCTTGAGCCCTGAGCAGGGCACTCTAGGCAGCCACAGAGCAGATGGGGACAGATGTTGTGGGCGTCCCCACCACAGCCTCGGAGTGATGGATGTGTCCCAGATCTGGGCCGCCCACTGTGCCTGCTGGCAGCCACATGCAGCAGTTAAAATTTAAATTAATTGAGCTGAAATGAAATTTGAAATCCTGGGCCAGGTGTGATGCATGCGCCTGTGATCCCAGCACTGTGGAGGCTGAGGCAGGAGGATCACCAGACTGAACCAGATAGCACGATGCTGTCTCAGAGAAAAAAGAGATTCTGTCCCTCAGCCACACTGAGCAGGCCCAGGAACCACATGCAGCTGGTGGCCCTGCGCAGGACACCTTAGTTCCCAAGTGGGGGGTGTAGGGCAGCCAGCCGGGCTGGGGAAGGAGCTGGGGTGGAGGGCATGGCAGCAGCGTGTGCTGGGGACGGCTCGAGGACACTGCAGGTGCAGCCAGGCCTGGGACGGATGGCACCAAGAAGCAAGGATGCAGCACTGCCAGAGGGCCCTGCGGGAAAGGCAAGAAATACTGACTGAAGCTGGGCACAGTGGCGCGTGCCGGGACTCTAGCTACCCAGAAGGCTGAGTCAGGAGCGTTGCACGTTTGAGGCAAGCCTGGGACACTTTGTAAGATCTTGTCTCAGGAACAAATAGGATTTGCCTCAGCTGAGCTTGTACCAGCGAGGGTATTGAATGCGTCCTGAGTATGTTTCTAGCAGTCAGGAGACTGGGCAGGTCAGATGCGTTCAATGTTCTCTCTTTTTTTTTTTTTTTTTTTTGGTACCAGAAATCAAACTCAGGACATTGAGCTTGCTGGGCAGTCACTTGTACCACTGAGCTATATCCCCAGGTTCAGTGTGTCTCAATTTAGGCCAGGTGTGGTAGTGCATGCTTATAATCCCAGCACTCAGGAAACTGAGGCATGGGCCAGGGAGATGGCTCAGCAGAATAAGTGCGTGGCTGGCAAGTGCAAGGGCCTGAGTTCAATCCCTGGTTCTGCAAAAAGAAGAAAGAAAAGAAACTGTGGCAGGAGGAGCACTTCAAGTTCAAGACCAGCTTGGGCTTTGTAGTTCAGGGCCAATGTGAGCAACATACGGAAATGCTCTCAAAAAAAAAAAAATAAATAAAAATAAAAAGAAATGTATTTTCACCAGGAAGATAGCTCAGTGGCTTATGCGCCTGCCTGGCAAGTACAAGGTCCTGAGTTCAATCTCCGGCACCCCCTCCCCCCAAAAAAAAGATTTTCAACTTGAGATGGATTTATCCAGACAAGACCCTGTGGTAAAGTGAGCGGTACTGCTAAAGCTCAACTTTCTTGGAAGAATCTTTTTTTGTTGTTGTTTTTTTGAGACAAAGTCTCACTGCGTAGCCCCAGCTGGCCTAGAACTCTCAGTGATCCTCCTGCCTTAGCCTCCTGAGTGCTGGGATGACAGGCATGTGCCACCACCCCCAGCTAACGTGGAAGAATCTTGGAAGACATCAGCCTTGCTCGAGAAGATTACTGGGGCAGCAGTGGGGGGAGAGGGCGTCATGTTTGGACTGGGCCTGACACCACGCCTGCTTTCCTGCCTATAAAACAAGCCCAGTGATGCCTGATACCCTCACCCCACACACACACGTGGATAGCGTTCATTCATGAAAGTCTTTTACACTATCTGGTCCCCAGGGAAGGTCGCAGCAAGTATGTCCAAGCTTGGGAATTGACTCGTGTATTGAGCTAGACTCCCAAGGTTGCTGGGATCTACACATTCAACTCACTGGGACTTTTGTGTTTATTTGTGGTTCCAGCACGAAGCCTTCCCTGGCCTCTGGGGCCGCCTACACCACCAGGAAGGACCCTGCCACTCAGCCACCAGCGCGCAGAGCCCGGACCTCCCAGGTACCCCCATGGGGACATGTCACAGGCGCTGTGGCAAGCTTGGCGCCTTCCCTCTGTGCCGCTCCTTGTGCTCTTCCACACCCGACCCTTACACCTTGTGTCCCTGGGGTCACAGCTTAGCTCCGTGCACCATCCCAGCTGGCACCTCAGGAGGCTGAGGGAGGAGGATGGCAAGTTCAAGGCCAGCCCAAGCACTTTCGCAAGGCCACCTCAAAATTTTAAGAGGGGGCAGGGTGAGGCTCAGTGGCAAGTGTCTGCCTGGTGTGTTCAAGGCCATGGGTTCCACTCTAGTACTGTCAAAATAAAGTTATTTGGGAAGCCCTGCTCTGGGGAAATGTCACATTAGTACCTCCACAGGGCACTCAGCAGAACTGGGGACCGTGAGTGGGCAGCACTTTCTCCATGCAGCTACTCGACCTGCAGTGGCACCCGAGAGCTGTGCCTCTCTGAGGGGCTCCCCCTGCTAGGCAGCCCTACTTGCCCATGCCCAGAGCACAGGGCTTCGAGCTGCCCTGTGTCCCCTGGGAGCTGCACATGTCCCAAGCACTACCCCCACCTGCAACTCCTGCACTCACTCCTGGAACTCAGTGTGGTGACCACTCAGTGACCCAAGCCCAACACCCACAGGAACCCAGCCTCCTCCCCTCTCCATTCTTCAGATAGGGTCTTGCTATGTAGCCCAGGCTGGACTCAAATTCACAGAGATCCTCCTGCCTCTGCCTCCCAAGTGCAGGGCTGACAGGTGTGCACCAACAAGCCTGGCTCCCTTTCTCCACACCTGCCAAACCCACCCTCTTCCCACTCTGCCTGAGAGCTGGGTCTGGTAAATGCCACCAAACTGTTGGGAATTAATACCGGGAGAGCTGTGTGGCCACCTGGTTCCTTGCTGTGTCCTCACCAGGGCCTCTCACAGAGCAGGGGACCGGGGCCAGCAGGCAGGAATAAGAAAATGAGTGAACGCCGAGTGGGATGAGCGTGTGTCACCCCGTGTCCCTGAGCTGCCTCCCCTCCCTGTTTCTGTCCCGTGGAAACCCTGCTGCAGGACAGTCACAGCTACAGATGGTCACCAGCCAGGAGCTCTCCCGACAGACAGGACTTAAGCTGCCGGCCAGGTGAGTGTTTGCAGGTGTGAGCTTGGGGATAAGCGTACATCCTGTAGTGCAGGGGACTTCACTAAAGTCACATCTGTAGAGCTAGGTGTGGCAGTGCATCATCCCATCACTCGGGGCTGAGGCAGGAGGAGCACTGCAAGTTCGAGACCAGCCTGGGCTACAAAGTGAGCTCAAGGCCAGCCTGAACTGCATGGTGAAACCCTGTCTCGGGGGAAAAAAAAAAAAAAAAAAAAATCAAGCCCAGGGCTTAATTTACCAATTTAGTGAAATCCTGTTTCAAAACAAAAAATAAAATGAGCTGGGATAGAGCTCAGTGTGAAGGCCAAGTGTCACTGTCCCCGCAGTTGTCTTGGTGGAGTAAGTGCTTTGTCTCTCCTTTTCTCTCCCTCTTAGGACCGAGCTCCCTAGGCCATCATGCACCTGTGTCCTCGGCAGCCAGGGGTCCCAGCCGGCCACCAAAGCCCAAGGTGGGCCCCAAGCAGCCCTGGCTCCACTACTGCCACGTGTGCAACATCAGCTGTGCAGGGCCGCAGGTCAGAGCCCTCTGTAACCCCTGGGGTCCTGTCCGTTGGCCAGTGGTGGGGCCACAGGCAGGAGCAGGAAAGTGGGGCACCATGGAGCATAGGCACGCGTCTGCCTGTGCGCAGTCTGTGGGTGTGCACGTGGGTGCCTATGTGCATGACCATGTGGGGGACGGCTCTGCAGACACCCGAAGAGCTCCCTACCAGGCAGGCGCTGTCATAAAGCTAGGAAATAACCCAGTGAGACCAACCACAGTGCTTTTCCTGGACAGATAACGTCAGAGCTTTGTCTTGTTGAAATACAAGCCCAGTTTTGTATCTTTTTTTTTTTTTTCTTGCACTGAGGGCCAAACTCAAACCCAGGCCATTTGCAGTAAGTCACTTCCCCAGTCTTTTTTTTTTTTTTTTTTTTGCAGAACAAGGGCTTAAACTCAGGCCCTTGCACTTGCCAGGGAAGGGCTTACTCTACTAAGCCATCTCCCCAGCCCCTGTATTTTTTTTTTTTAATGTATTTGGTGCAGGGTCTCACTACACAGCTCAGATGCATAGTAATCCACCTGTTTCAGCATCCTCAGTACTGGGACTACAGGCGTGCCAGGGATCAAAGCCCATTTCCTGCACTTGCCTAAGCAGGTGCTTAGTTTGCTGAGCTACTTCACCGGCCCTCCCTTTTTGTACCTTTATTTGAGACAAGGTCTTGCTGGGTCACTAGGTCACTCAGGCCTGAACCTGAGATCCTCATACCTCAGCCTCTGAGGTAGCTGGGATGACAGGTGCTTGCCACTATACCTGGCACCCTGTCACCACAGGACAGCCTTCAGCCCTCTCACCTGCCACTGAGAGGGACGTGGGTCACATCATGGGCCCGGAGGGGCACTGGTGCATTTCTCCAGTTGTCCATCAAAGCTGGATGTCAAAGTCAAAATCAGCCCCATTTCTACTGTGCTGTCTCTGAAAGAGGACAATGAAAGCAGAGGACATAGATTGCTTCATCCTTCCGGCCACTGCCCTGTGGCACATGGTGTGAGGCTAGGCAGGGTGAGTCCCTCAGGAATGGAATTAGAATGCGGGGCGCAGTGATCCTCACTTATTATTTAGCTACTCAGGAGACTGAGGCAGGAGGATCTCAGGTTCAAGCCTAGCTGGAGCAATTTAGCAAGACCCTGTCTCAAAAGAACAATTACAGGGTCTGGGGATGGGCTCAGTCGGCAGCAATCGCCTGCCATGGGAGGAGCCCTGGGCTCCATCTCCACTACTGGAGAAAAAGATGAAGAAAAGAATGTGAAAGGTAATAGAAACAGGGGTGGGTGAGATAGCTCAGTGGACTAAGCCCCTGCTAGGCAAGTTCAGGAACCCAGATTCGATCCCTGCACCACATGCCACGCTGGCCCCAACCCCCGGCGCGCTGAGCCAGCCACCGAGTCTGGGCATGCGTAGTGAGGCCCTGTACCAAATACATAGAAAGAAAGACGAAAGAAAGAAAGAAAGAAAGAAAGAAAGAAAGAAAGAAAGAAAGAAAGAAAGAAAAAAGAAAGAAAGAAAGAAAGGAAGGAAGGAAGGAGACCATCTTTGGTGGACCCTGTGTGGGTAAGGACAGCAGCAAGAGGTGCCTGTAGCCAAAGTCTCTCACCCGGAAATAACTCGGTGGCCGTATGCTGCTGCAGAGCCCTCCATACTGTATTCCAGAGACTCTATTACCCATTTTCAAGCTCCTATGTATTTTCTGCTGCCTAGGTAATAACCTGGCTTGCATGGTTCAAGATTCCAAAATATTCTAGTGTATACAGTTGGATGCCTACCTCTCACCCTGTCCATGTCTCTGCTTCTTTTTAAATTTTGAGACAGGATCCCCCTAAATTGCTAAGTTTCTCAGTCTTGCTGAAACATGAGATCCTCCTGCCTCAGCCTCCCAGAAGGAGGAAGACCTCAAGGGTCTGTTTCCTATTTTTTTTTTTTTCCTCCCTAGAACTGAGTCATGGTGTACATCTGTCTGTGCTCATTCCAGGCCAGGTCAGAGAGGTTTAGGGGACCCACACAAGAAGAGTGGGTCACAGCTGCCTGGTGTTGAGGACCCCAAGAACCCAGCAGGAATTCGGTGTAGACCCTGCAGGCAGCTCTTCAGGGCTCAGTAGTTCTGGTGTGTAATCCTGTGAGTCACGCTGGCTCCTGTTGCTTATAGTGGCTGAGTTTCTTAACAGTTTTCTAAAAAGTAATCATAATGATGTCCTGCAGCTTAGATTCGGAAGTCCACTTACAACAGCTGCTGTCTACAACCAAAGGTGTGATCCTCAGAAGGGATTATATAAGAAACTGGCTTATTTTTAGAAAAAGGAAGATGCCTTATTGATATCTTCCAGCTTGAGCTTTTAGGTCATCGCCCCACCCCCCACCCCATGGGGATTGAACCGCCGGGCTAAAGCCCCATCCCTTTCTTATTTTGAGACAGAGTCTTGTTAAATCTCAAAATTGCCCAGGGTTGTGCCCAACCTTGAGATCCCCTTGCCTCAGCCTCCCTAGTAGGTGAAGGTCACAAGGTGGCTTCTGAGTCAGCTGTGTTTGATAAAGGGCCTCAGGCCTCCCTCCAGGGTCCCAGCAGGCTAAGGGTGGGGACAGCCGGGCTCTGTCTCCCATGGGTTCCCGCCAGCTGAGCTCGCAGCCTGGGCCACCACGCTCAGTGTGTGACACAGGCTTCGGCTCTGCGCGGCAGACCTACCAGGAGCACCTGGAAGGGCAGAAGCACCGGAAGAAGGAGGCGGCACAGAGGCCGGAGAGCAGCTCCTCGCTGTACTGCGACCTGTGCTGCGTGTCCTGCACCGGGTCAGATGCCTACGATGCGCACATCCGGGGAGCCCGGCACCAGAAGGTTCGACCCCGCCCATCCCGACCCTAGGGGTGCACTGCGGGCTCCCCAGCGCAGGCCTGACCTAGGCTACATCTTTTCCAGAAGTTCAGGCTGCACACCAGGCTGGGGAAGCCGATTCCCACCGCTAAGCCCATGCCTAGGAGCAGCTCCCATGCCCAACACTGCACCTCCCATGAGGACTCAGGGGGATCCGGTGTGAGCAGCCCCGAGGAGCCCGCCCAAGCCCCCAGACGGCTGGCCTCCACTGTGCGAATCGTGGGTGCGTGCTTGGGCCTACAGGGCATGGCGTGTGCTTGGGGCATTCCCGTCATCCCAGCTACTTTGGAGGCCAAGGCCGGAGGATCAATCACAAGTGTCAGCCCAGCCTGGGCAGCTTAAGAAGACCTCATGTGTGGGGCCGGGGAGATGGCTCAGTGGAATAAGTTGCCTAGTAGAAAGGCCCTCTCTTCTTCCTAGCCAGCCCTGGTCAGCAAGGATAGTAGCTCTGATGTGACGCAGGCCATGGCCAGTGACAACGGCCAGGAAGGCTGTTCCCTTGCCTGAGGCCTGCAGGACAGTGTGTCAGACAGCAGGTCTTACATAAGCCCCTCCCTGTCTGCCTCACAGACAATCCCTGTTAACAAGCATGCCCTGCGACAGTGTCTTCCCTTCCCGGGAAGCATTTGACACGAATTGACTCCATCTGGAATTTGACAACATTCACTGAAGAGTGAGGCCACCACCACGGGCGGGCACGGTGGCAACCACAGGGGAGAAAGGGACAAGGACAGACCTAGGTCTGTGCGGCTCTCATTCCAGCACAGCCTGGTTGGCCAAGGCTTCTGGCCAGCACGGTAACAGCTGTTCCCCTTCAGGGCCTCTCGAGCCACTGTCAGCTGGCAGCAGAACCCCGGAGGGGACATCAGGACAGTTCAAGGCACAGGTGCCTGGAGAGATGGCTGCCTGGAGGGGTTCTGCGGAAGCCACTACTGGGGTCTGGGTCGCGGAGCCCGTGGGACAGGAGTTCGTGGAGGAGGTAGGTGGGGGCTGTGGAAGCTGCGAGCTAGGGGTGCAGCAGAGAGCCAGGCCTCACGTGCTGCTCAACTGTCAGCACTCACTGCGCATTCAGTCTATTATAGTTTTTCTTTTGAAACAGCGTCTCAATTGCCCAGGTGGAACTGGAATTTGTAATCTTCCTGCCTCAGCCTCCCCAGTGGTGGGGATGACCGAGCCATGCTAAGGCTGCTCTCTCCTTGGCCAGCTTCCTAGTTTCCTCCGCCCCCCCCCCCCCCCCCCCCCCCCCCCGATGTCTTTTTTTTTTCTTTTTTTTTTTGCGGAACGGGGGATTGAACTCAGACCCTTGCGCTTGCTAGCCACTGCTTGGTGCCTCTCCCAGCCCCTCGGGCCGCCCCCCCCCACTCCGCAGTGCCCCCCCCCCCCCCCCCCCCCCGCACGGTTCCCGCCATAGGCGCGATGTCTCTTACACACATGTACGGAACACCAAGCTGGGCGCGCTGGTCATCACAGCAGTCTAAGACGCTGAGGCAAGAGGGTCTCAACTTTTAGCCAGTTTGGGCAACTTAGTGGAGACCGTGTAGCAAAATAAAAAGAAGGGCTGGGAAGGCACCTCAGCGTCAGGAGGACTGGCAGGACAAACGACTCCCGCTGGGACTGCCACAGGAGCCCTGTCCCTCAGTGAAGCGGATGGGCACCTGCGCTCTGTGATAGGTGTGCAGCGACCAGGGGAAAGTGATCCGCTACCGCTGCAGACTCTGCGAGTGCAACTTCAACGACCGCAACGCTCAGGACCTGCACTTGCGGGGGCGGCGGCACCGACTGCAGTACCGGGTGCGTCCTCCAGGGGGAGCCCGGTCCACCCTACGCGGTTGGTTTAACTTTGGGCGCTGCCCTCTTGCAGTCCTGCCCACGGCTCAGGGTGGGCACCAACCCGCCTCCACTTTTACCCGCGGGTGTCCCTCTGGGGATGCTCCTGCGCTGCCTCGCTTCCTCGACGGGGGGGATGTACCCAGGGCCAGGCATGGAGGATCAGGAGCCAGAGGAAGGGATGGATGGATAAGGGCATGATAGGTACGCGGGTGGACAGATGGATGGGTGCAGGGTGGGAGGATAAGTGAGCTGAGACATTGGAGGGGTACAAACCACAAATGCCAGGGTGTCACGTGGCTGAGCTTTCTGCTTCACTGGTAACCCCACCTTGCCCTCCAGAGGAAAGTGGACCCCCGCCTGCCCTTGGTCGCGGGGCCTGGCCGGCTGCGGCGGCTGCAGGAGGAGCAAGCACGCAAGCATCGGCAGCTCGTGCAGCGGCAGCTGGAGGAGACGCGGCAGCGCTGGCGGGCAGAGCTCAGGTGCCACTGCCCTGCACGCCCCCAAGGGACAGGCCACCTCCAAGGGCTGGAGTTGCCTCCACTGCTTCCCCACGTGGACTTCCAGGCCACGCCCTGCAGCTCTGCCCTTCGTGCGTGCCCCATGCTGCGGGCGGGGTTGAGGGAGAGATCCTGCTAACACAGCAGCACCCCCACCCTGAGGACTCGCAGACTGCAGGGGCAGTGCCCCGCCCCTAAGCAGGAGCCTGGAGTTCCGTGTCCTCCAACCTGTGGGGTCCCCTGACCACTGGAATCCCTGTGTCTTCTGGTTTCTGGCATCTCTTGTGTCCCCCAACCTGTCTTGTCTCCTGACTGTGATCTGTGTCCCCCTATGGGAGACGCATTTTTTCATCTCTCCCCTGCACCCCACAATGCCAGAGCATTTTCCTGTCCAGTACCTGAAGTATCCTATGGGCAGTGGCCTCACAGCCCCTGTCCTCTGGTCCCCAGCCACTGTGAAGCACACTGCAAGGACCAGAAGAAGGAGCCACGGCCCCAGGATGAGGAGCAGCCACTCCGGGCTCCCACCTGGACCCTTCCATCCCCTGTGGACAGGCCAGCAACACCTGCAACCCGGGCCCAGGTAGGTGCGACACCCTACACATCTCAGCCTTCTGCAGTCCTGGGGTTGTCATGTCATGGGGACCTTATCTCACACCCATCTGTCCCCACCCTGAGGCGATCCTGAGTCCTCTGTCCTGACGGGCTCAGCCCAGGCTGAACCAGAGCTTCTGCCCTGGAAACGAGACAGGATTGCCAAGAGCACCTCCCTGGCTCCCGGGCACTGCTCCTGACCAGAAGGCTCCTGACTTGGTCCCCTGTGGCCTGCAAGGCCCTCACCCTGACCCTCGGTCCCTCACCCTGATGGATGAGGGCCACCTCTCCCCAAAGGCCAAGCGGCGGCGCCTGGAGACCAGCGATGACCGCCACGTCATGTGCAAGCACGCAGCCATCTACCCCACCGAGGCAGAGCTGCAGGCCATCCAGAAGGCTGTGTCGCATGCTGAGCGGGCTCTCAGGCTGGTGTCCGACCTGATGACTGAGGAGGACTCAGAGAACTTGGGCAATGAGGGCAGCCAGTGCAGGTAATGGACTCATCTCTGTCCCCAGAACATTATATCCGTGGGTGGAGGGGCAGGGGACAGGAGAGGCTGCTGGGCCCACAGAGGCAAGGACAGTGGCTGCAGGCCCAGGCCTCGCAGGAGAAAGTCCCTAGCTGGGCGTGATGGCTGACAGCTGTCCTCCCAGCATTTGGGAGGCTGAGGTATGAGGATCACTGTGAGTTCAAGGCTAGCCTAAATTATATAGTGAGATTGGGTCTCAAAAAAAAAATTTTTTTTTTTTTAAAGGAATGTGCAAGAGCCGGCCAAATAGCTCAGTGGATTAAAGCACCTAAAAGCAGGCGCAGGGGCCTAGGGTTGGATCCCCAGGCCTGCCCTGCCAGCCCCACCAGCCCCACCCCCCAGGGTGTGCTGACACAGTAATTGAGACTGGGCATGGTGGCACAGAGGCTGTAAACAGGCAGATCACTATGAGTCTGATCTAGTAGTGAGACCCTGAACACCCTGTAGACCCCTCCCTAAAATACAGAAAAAAAGTAAAATAAAAATAAAATTAAAAAGTAGTGTAAAGAGCTGGGGGTGTTACTCAGCGCCAAGCATGTGCTAGCATGTGGGAGGCCCTGGTTCCCTACCCAGCCCCACAAAAAAAAGAAAACTGCAGTTCACAAAGGATGAACCAACTCCATGAAGCCAGTTTCCTCAGAAGCTCCGGGAAGTGAAGGATGACTCTGAGCCAACTTGTCCAGCTCGCAGGAGCACTGAGTAATCAGAGAACAGAAATTCACTCTGTCCAAGTGAATCATCATGCTGAGGAGCAGGAGGGTCCCTCGAGCGATAACTCAGTGTCATAGGATTTGATCATCCCCAAAGGAGCTTCTTGTAAAGTCCGTCCTCAGCAGGCCTGTTGCATTTTCCCTTGAGTGGGATGCTGTCACGCTCTCTATTTCCTCCTGCCAGGGCCCTTTGACCAAGGGTTTGGTCCCATTCTACCAATAAGGCGTCCTAGCACTGGAGCTGTAGCAGGGGATCCCCAGTTCCAGCCCAGCCTGGGAAACTTAGCAAGACCCTGCCTCAAGATTAAAAAGGGTGATGGTGCTGGGCTATATAGCTCAGGACCTTCACCTAGGACCAACTATCACCACCAAAAAAGGAAGGGAAGAAAAAGAAACCGAGTCCCTAGGTAGCTTGGGAGTTAGGTGCCCGAATCCCTTGGACCCGCTATGCCTGGTCCTTCCCCGACACCAGGGTTTTTCTCTATGCTTGCAGCGTGGCATCCTCGCCACGGATCTTGAAGGGCGTCATGCGGGTCGGCATCCTGGCCAAGGGCCTGGTCCTGCGGGGTGACCGGAACGTGCGGCTGACCCTGCTCTGCTCCCAGAAGCCCACGCGTGCCCTGTTGCACAGAATTGTGACACGGCTGCCCCAGCAGCTCTTGGTAAGGCCATGTGTGCACCGGTGAAACCCCAGGATCACCACATTAGGAACCCAGCCAGAGGGCGCTATGTGTGCGCTCGCACGTGTGCACTTTGCGTGTGTGGTGCTGGGGATGAGCCCAAGGCCTGGCACATACTAAGAAAGCATCCACCATTGAGCTGTGCTCCTCACCCTTTTTATTTTACTTTCAGACAAGGTCTCCTTAAGTGGTCCATTGCTGTTCTCCTGCCTCAGCCTCACAAAGGGTTGGGATGACAGGCATAAGCCACCATACCTGCCAGAGTTCATATTTATAAATTGCTACAAAGAGAGAGCACTGGAAAGTTCAGGGGTCCCTGATGCAGGGCAGTCAGGCTACAATAGGAAATCATCCAAGGCCGGCTGTGCTGTTGCATCACACACCTGTAATCCCAGCACTCAGGAGGCTGAGGCATGAAGATTGTTGCAAGTTAAGACCTGCCTGGGCTACAGAGGGAACTCAAGGCCAGCCTGAACTGCGCAGCAAGACCCTGTCTCAGAAAGACAAAAAAGAAAAAAGAAAGAAATAGGAAAGAAAAGAAAAAGAAAGCAATCCATTTTGTATCTGTGTATTCAAAGTGGTTGGGATAGATATATAGTTGCATTCTCTTAATGAATAGAATGATTTTTTC